AGGGCTGTGAGCCCAAAGGTAACCCGTGTGACTTAGAAAAAAATGCCCTGTGATCTAGATATATTACAGCCGGATTGCCAGGGCTTACACAGCAAGTGACACTCAGCTTTGGGACCAAAACTGCAGTTCACTTGTGGCTGATGTATTTTTTGTGGTTCTTCTTTCCTTCGTCTGGGTCCACAGGAAACACTTGCCAGAGGCCTGCCTCTCCACCTTTCAACACTAAGACTGACCCTCATGTTGACCTGTTACCAAGAGATGCCAGCTGACCCTCCATTTCTGCAGTTTATGCCTGGCACAGACACATTAGGAGCATGTAAACATGGAGCAGATGGGAACATCTGCATGACAAGCACACCACTGTACAGTGGGAAGGAAGCACACCCCTGTACAGTGGGAAGGAAGCACACCCCTGTACAGTGGGAAGGAAGCACACCCCTGTACAGTAGGAAGGCACATCCCTCCAAGGCAGAGAGTCAGGCGTCAGGCACTTCTCATTTTGATGACTGCTAGAGTATCAAGACATTTTATGTAATATCTACCAAAGTTAACTTTTAAAAAAATCATGTCTATTGTCTGTAATAAAGCCAAATCAATGAAACTAAATTTAAGCCAAAATAAGATTGCTTAGTCTACCTGCTAGGCCGGTGCTGAATATAATACTCTGGCAACATTATGAACCTTACAGGTCTAACCATAGCAAAGGCAGAGAAAGCAAGAGATCTGTGTGTAGAGGAAGTCAACAGGAGGCCCAACATCTATGTGTAAACTGATGACATGACGGCTGCATGGTATGGCTAAGGGATAAGTTTTTATTTTGTTTGGGGGGGTGTGGGGGGGGGAGAGAGAGAGAGAGAGAGAGAGAGAGAGAGAGAGAGAGAGAGAGAGAGAGAGAGAGAGAGAGATATGCAAGGAGCATCTAGAAGAATCTAGATCAGAGAGAGAAAACAGACTGACAGTGGCCAGTAGACTGGACCTGCCCTTGTAGAGAAACAGGAGTGGGGGCATAGAGAGGGAGAAAGGGGGGGGGGGGAGGGGGATGGGGGTGGGGACTAAGAGTGTGGGCAAAGGAGAGAGCATAGCTGAAAGAGCAGGGCTATATATAAGAGATGAGTAGCTGGGGGGGAGAATGCTAGCTGGACTTGGATGCTGAGGGAGCCTGGGGGCCAGCATGTGCTTTGGTATGCTAACAGGCACCACAGACAGTCACTTGTCCCTTCTGCCAGTGATAAGGGAAATGGCTCCTTTTGGTAAAAGGAAACCAGCTTCACAAGTTCCTTAAAGAATGCTGGCTTTTATCTAATCTGCAGAAATTGGCGAATAGTTGCCTTTGAACCTGACTATCTAGACCTGACTATCTACTCAGAACTTGGCTTTGTCACTTGTACCATATCACCCTGGATTGCCAAACAGTAATAGATGAAGACAAGGTGAGAGTGAGGTGTTCCTCTGCTCAGGGGGTTTAGAGAGATAGATGTGTGACACTTCATGCTGTGAATGTTAGACAACTCTCTCCTGCTACTTTTATGTGGGTTCAGAATGAAGCTTAGGTCATCAAACTTGCTTAGCAAAGGCCTTTACCCACTAAGCCACATTGGAAGCTTAAGACCTCTCTATATTTAAGACAAATAAAAATGTTCAAACTTATTTTTTTTAAAGTAGGATTTTGTTGTTGTTTTAAATTACGTGTATATGTGTGTTTGTGTGTATGTACATCTGAGTGCAGTGCCCCGTAGAGGCCAGAAGGGGTTATCAGATCCCCTGGAGCTAGAGTTACAGGCAGTTGTAAGCCACCTGACATGGGAACTAAACTCAGATCCTTTGCAAGAGTCTTAAGTACCTGCTCCTCACCATTGAGCCTTCTCTCCATCCCTTAAGCTCATTCTAATAAGGAGATTCAAAAAGGAAAATCAAAACAGACTGAAAAAATAACAATACTACGTTTTCCTTCTATTGCATGGCAAAGCTAAACTCCAATGTCTCAGCACACAGGTGGCCCAACACAGAGGGGAACCAAGGCCACTCAGCACATGTCTGTCTGTCTGTCTGTCTGTCTGTCTGTCTGTCTGTCTGTCTCTAGGACAGCAGGCCAAAACAGGGAAAAGTACCAACTAATGAAATATATAGTCAACTTTTCCATACATGAAGTAGGAGATGTGTCCTAGAAACTTTTCAAAAACTCAAAACCTAGATTTCACAGTCAAGCATTTTGGTGGTTGCCTACCCAAGACTCTAATGTTTAACAAGTCCTATGTTTAACAAGTGTTTGTGGAGGAATCAAAAAGAAAATAAAAAGAATTCAAACATTTTGGTGAAGCATGCATCCTTCCAACACCCAAAAATATCTTTTAAAATTCGCTTTCCTATACAAATAACACCCCACAGAGTAGGGCCTGGTTGCCCACAGAGTAGGGCCTGGTTGCTCACAGTGGCTTCGGAGGAAGTTGGGAAATTGACAGCCAGTCACATAAAAGGCAACATGCAAGAAGGTCAGGAAACAGTGGATTAACAGTTAGGTGAAAATTGCTTCAGAGATATCAGTATTGTCAACTGCAATCTGGTAACTTCAGGAGAAGGGAGGGGTCCAGGCAGAAGCCAGTGAGCTTGCAGCATAGCAAAACCTGAGATTCCCAATGCTCATGATGAAGACATGTGATATCACAAAACCTTACATGGTTAGACACATAGTGTTTGCCATTTATCTAGTGCCAACTCCGTGTGAGGAGCTGACCCAGTCAGTGACGTGTGATGTGTTGTCCCCACTTCACAGACAAGGGTGCTGTGCCCAGGAAGGCTAATTGCATCACCATCAATGCAACTGTTAGGCAGAAATGGGGCTCATCACAAATGTTTCTTACCCTAGTGAAAAAGCTCTTAAAACACGTTCTGCTTTGGTGAGTGAGTATGACCAAGGAAAAGAGAGGCACTGAGGACCAGTAGGGGGATAGCAATATGCAGCATAAACAAAGGTCTTCAAAGTACTTAATGCAGCACATGTCTAGATTATATTTCATGTGTAAGTTAACTAAAGATGTTCTAAGAAAAAGTCACTATGCATGATACATTCCAATTTTTAGGAATTGTTTTTCTATTTTAGCTTATTCTGTTTCATTATATTCAAAATGCTGACAAATTCCTGAACTAGTTTCACAGCCCAGTCAAACAGTACCCTTCATTTGAAAACTGGTGCCATGGGCTAGGGAGAGGTCAGTGATTAAAACTGATTGCTGTTCTTAAAGAGGACATGGGTTCAGTTCCCAGTATCCACATCAGGCAGATGGAACTCGAGCTGCAGAGGACCCTACACTTTCTTCTGACTTCCACAGGTACCCCCACACATGCTCTCTCTCTCTCTCTCTCTCTCTCTCTCTCTCTCTCTCTCACACACACACACACACACACACACACTTAAAAATAAAATAATTTCTTAAACAAAATCTGGACCATAGCCAATGGTTTTTAATATCAGGAAGAATATTACCCTCTGAGAGTTCTATATATTTTCCTTAAAGTGTTTTTTTCAGGAAAAGGGAGAAAGATAGCAAGGAGGGAGAAAAAAGTGGAGAGACATGTCAATTACATGTTCCCCATCAGAAGGGACAGTGGAATGAACTTAGCTCAAACAACAATGCTCCCTCTCCATGGCAAAGCAGCCTGCTCACAGAGACAGGTTTGGTAGGCCTATGCTGGGAGAGTTAGCAGTCCCTTTGGGTTGGCAAGGAAGGACCCACTGCCAACACTGGCCTCTGAGGAAAAGGAACTCTTACATGTAATGGTTTTAGACAGTTTTGAAGACTGAAAGGCAAACCACATATGTACCGTTCAGGTAACATTCCACACTAAACAAGGGCCATGACTGCTAAGGACATACAACTTTAACATGAATGGACTTCTTCAAAAGCCTGAATGTGCACTAGGGAGATGATAAGGTTTGCCTCGCAAACATGATGAACTGAGTTTGATCCACACATAAAAAGTTAGGCATGGTGAGATGAGTGGTGGAAAAAGGTGGATCCCTGTTCACACAGTCTGCCCATTTGACAAAGTTCCAGGCCAATGAGCGACCCTGTATCAGGCAAAAAGTGGAAGGTACCTGAGGAATGACACCTGAAGTTCCCCTCTGATCACAGACACAAGCTACATGACCACACACACAACCACACACACACACACACACACACACACACACACACACACACACACACACACACAGAGAGAGAGAGAGAGAGAGAGAGAGAGAGAGAGAGAGAGAGAGAGAGAGAGAAAACACACATCTGAGAAGCATCTGTAGTAGGATGAATGGCTTACACTAAAAACTGATATAGGAGCTGTGAGTAGTTACCAATATAAATATATGGAAGGGGAGAGAAGGAGCTGAGAATAGTGGCTCACACCAGTGGTTCAAACACAGAGATGCTAAGGTAGGAGGGTTACTGTGAGCTCCAGGCTAATATGGGTTATAATGTGAGACCCTATCTCAAACCAAACAAAAGGAAGAGATGTAGAGAATGGTGATTTGTAAGTGAGTCAACTTAAGAGTCTCAACAAAGATGAGTTGCCATGGCAATCTGAGAATGGAAGAAGAGGGTCTTTTCCAGCAACGACTGCTACTTATTAATGTTTCTTCAGGTAACGTCAAAATCTCAAAGTTTCTTGAAAGAAAACCACCTCTTTTTCATCTGCCGCTTAATATGCTGAAGGGACCTGTTTAAGACGCTGCAGCCACAAAGTAAGTTAGATGATAAATGTGTTCTTCAATCTGCGCACCAGTCAAGTAGCAATAAAATCAGAATAATTCATGCAAAAATTTTCATTATGTTTCTAAACATACTTATTTACATTTTAAATCACACTTTAGACAATATGAAGTATCTTTCATTTAGACAGGTGTGAAGTAGAAAACAGATGCATTCATTAAACATGGAACAATTCGGCAAATTAAAGAAAAAAAAAAAACAAAGAACTCTCTGGTTGAAGTGTTTCAGCCACCGTTAACTTACTTGAAAAAATATGGCCATGGCTCCAATTATTCTGTTCTCAGAAATTGCCGTTTGAAAGCTGTCAAAATCATCTGGGTTGTAAAAGAAAATCTGCATCTGTAAAATAGTTAAAAATTATATTAGAAAGAATTTTAAAACTATGGAAAAGTAGACTAGTACAAAGGACCTGTGTTCCCACAGACTAAGGCCACAAGCCATTTATTCTTGTATCCACAGTATTTGTTTGCTTAAGCCTGTGAGAGCACAGCCCACATAACATGGCACTTCACTCATATTTGAGAACACACACAGCTTCACACATGTCTGTATCCACGCTGCCCGGAATACACACTACTACTGCTGTGTTCTTATTGTCAGTACCAGCTCATGATGAAACCTTCCCAAGAGGCAAAACTTGAACGCAGCTCAGCACATTCAAGCAGGAAGTTAAGCCCGTGAGAGGGGTGAGAGGAAGCCAGCGTGTGAAATTATCAACACACAATAAACGACTTAGGCACAAGTAGTGCGAACTGGAAGCTGTATCTCAGGAGATTATGGGAAGACCTGAAGTTAGATGTCAGAAATTTAACAAGGAAAAAATTAATGGTTAAAAACAATGAAATAGTACCTTACAGTTTACTGTGTCCATAAAAGCTATTCTACAAATTACAACATTGAATGCACTTCATAAGCTCTATGGAAATGGGAGCTACAGGAAGGAAATAGTGCTTCAGGAAATACTTATCAAGTTGCTTCAGGTTGAACATCACAGGGAACTCTAGGTGCTCCCACCTGAACTGTAAGTACCTTTTCTTGTATGTAGCTAGAATTTCTTATTCAAAATCAAAAATCCAGATTCATCAACTTAAGATCATTTAAAAGACTGAGCATACAAGTAAGATGACAAAAGGGATTTTTTGTTGTTGTTGTTTGTCTGTTCTTGTTTTTTTCAAGGCAGGATTTCTCTGTGTAACAGTCCAGGCTGTTTTGGAACTTGCTTTGTAAACCAGGCTGGCCTGGATCTCACAGGGATCCACCTGTCTCTGCCTGAGTGATGGGATTATAGGTGTGCGCCACCACCATCCGCTGATTACTTAAGTTCCTATTCCAGCATCCCTGCTTCCGTGTCTGGGAGACCTCGGGAAAGTGATGTTCTCAACAGCAGCTTCCTGACATATAAAGTCAAGCATTTCTACTTGGCAGAGGGTTGTGAAGGTGAAGCACATGAGTAGTGATACTGCACCATGCTCAAATCCCAGCAGCACTCCATCCACCACCAACGCAGGCTAACACCAGCAGACTTCTTAAAAATCCTAGTTAAGAGGGCTGGAGAGACAGTTCAGTGGTTAAGAGCACTGGCTGCTCTTCTAGAGGAACCAGGTATTGTTCCCAGGATCCACAGGGCAGCTCACAGTCACTTGTAACTCTAGATCTGACAGCCTCTTCTGGCCTCCTTGGGCACCAGATACATAAGTTGAACATAGATATACATGCAGGCAAAACACTCATACACATATGAATGGCATTGGACTCGGTCTCCAGGGAAACCCTGCTCCTTCAAAAACAATCAAATCTTCTTTGGCAGATAACCACTGCTCCCCCACTTCCTAAATGGTGTGCTCAAAGGGTTTGTAATGGAAATGATGGTCACATCCCAGCCAGGAGCTTGGAGATTTGAGACCCAACAATTAATTCCCAGCAGACACAGCAAACTCAAGGTGACTCCATTTAGGTTAAAAGTGAATGGAGTCTACATGACAAAATGAACTGAGATGCCTAGGAAAAGGTGACAATTCATTTCTGAGGGGGAGATGAAGCCTACTGCATCAAATCACTTCTGAGGGAAATTCAGGAATCAGAGTAGATGGGGGAAGAGATAGACTCTTTTGTGACATTTTTCTTTTAAAGCAAATTCATTTCTTAAGACCTCAAGTTCTTCCCAATGCTGGCAGTGTGGACAGCTTTAGGCATTGCGAATTTACAATAAGAAAAATTCACTCTGCAAGATGCTGAATAAAACCATTTAATACTGGGTCAGTTGCTTCAGGTTCAATACCACTAAACCACGGAGGGGGGATCTCCACACAAGTATATTCAGAAAATGACACCACTTTGCTTTTAAAGCTCAGACTCTCAAAAAGTAAGTAGGTTCCAGAAGGCTTACACTATGGCCCCTGATGTTTTATTTTATTTAAATTCTTTAATTACTACTCATATTTACATATCCATCCCCCCATTCCCTCGCCCTCCCATCCTCCCATGTTCCTCCCAACCCATGCCCCAGCTCCTCACCAGGGATAGTGAGGTCCTCCATAGGGGACCTTCAAAGTTCGTCATATCATTTGGGGGAGAGCCTAGGCCCTCCTTGCTATATCTGGGCTGTAATAGTATCCCTCCATAGGGAATGGGCTCCCAAAGTCTATTTGTGCTCCAGGGATAAACACTGGCTCCACTGTTAGAGATCCCATAAACTGCCTTGGCCTCCTAGCTGGCACCCACATTCAGAGGGCTTGGTTCAGTCCAACGCTGTTTCCCCAGCTTTATGACAAGGGTCTCCATGCTCTCAGTAGGTCAGGTCAACTGTTTCTGAGGGTTTCTCTAGCACCGTCTTGGCTCCTTTGCTCATTTCTCCTCCCTCTCCATGACTGGATTCCAGGAGTATGGTTCAGTGCTTAGCTGTGGGTGCCTGTATCTGCTTCAAACAGCTACTGGACTATGGCCCTAAACAGGGAGGGAAGTATTACTCAATGCACTACCTGAATAGCCTGGGACACAAAACAGATTGAGACCTCTTATGAGGCCCTTTGACATATAGCTTGGGGAGGAAATACATTTTTGGAAAACATGTTTAAATCTAGGCTCCACCCACCTTGATAATTAATGTCTCAGAAAGAAACCACTAGTGCAGGTTGGAAATACCAATTTCCCTTGCTGTTGCTTTTAAGTTGTAGCTTATTGAATTATGTTAACGTCTGCAGCTATCTAAAGATAAGAAAATAAATAAAGGGATAAAGTTTTACTGGGCTAACTGTACTCTACCAATTTGTTGCTGATAAGAAAAAAATAGGGTAGAGACTGTAAATCAATTTTGCAAAGACATCTCTGGCAAATGTTTTGGTTAATTCAGTCACCATGATCCTCGTTTAGATATACACTGAGTCCCTCTGATTTGCCTTTGCTTGTGGGTTAATCATTTCAATGTCAAATCCTCAAGTATCTCCAATTTCTACATTTATTCTTAAAAAGCCACACCCAACCATGGGGGATGATGCATGCCTGAAATCCTAGTATTTGGGTGGCTGGGGCAGGAGAATACATAGAAAGATCTTGACTGAAACAAAACAAAACAAACAAAAGAAAAAGTAATACCCACTATAGATTTTGCATGTCTGAGGGATATTTGAAATATAGTAATTTCTGCCAAAGACACATGCTGTACATGAGGCTTGGGAAAGACCTAGAGAGTAAAGTGACAAAAATGTCTGTCTGTGTCATAGCCACTACCCAGTTCAGTAATTTACATTTTGTCCAATTGGCTCTTGTACTGCCTCTGTGGACGTGCCACTACCACCACATGCTTATCTTTCCTTCAATTTCTTGGGAGTAAGACAGAGATTATATGTCACATGTACTGAAAACATAGTGTGTAATTTCTAAGAATACAAGGATATCCTCTTACTGGACTTCAGTGTAACTGTTACAATAAGGAAATTTCACATTGATATGATCTGATTATCCAATTCTCAGTTCACTTTCGAATTTAGTAAGTGCCCAGTAAAAGCCCATTACAGGTCATGTTACAGTTCTGGTTGCAGAATGCAATCCAGGATTAAACTCTGCACTCTTGTGGCCACATGTTTGCTGTCTGTTCCCATTGCCATCTGGAACAACTCCTTGGCTTTCTTGTCTCTGAGAATGAGATGCCCCATGGACAATTCCACATAAATCTGTGGTCCATCTTCTCACAGTTTCTTAAGGGGAGATTCAGGTGGTATATTCTGTGCAAGCTGCCACACAACACTACTATCTTTATTCAGTACACTGGATCACAGTGACTATGGCATGGCTTATCCTAACATTAGGACTGTTTATCTCAATCATTTCAAGGGTGACATGAGGCAATCTTCTCCACTATAGTTTTCATCTCCTTTGGAAATGGCAAGATTTTTGGAGGGAGATAGTGTGAAATGACATTCCTACTCTGTTTCTCACCTTCACCCACTAGCTTGGACATTCATTAATGACTTACTTTTTTTTTTTAAAGTATAACAGCACCTGTCCAGTTTAATGCAGAAACCAACAAGGCCAGCAAAATATAATAATAGCAACAACAACTTCTAGTCATGTCCTATGAGAAAGTATATAAGGTTGAGACAGAAGATGTACTTGGTTTTGGTTGTTCAGAAAGATGGCCCTCTACATCCCATAATACAGGAAAGTCTAACTAGGCTATTGTAGCTCTCTCACATAAGTCCTCAGGCCTTGGAGATTCTGACCCAACTGAGACTATGCATTTTTAATTAATAAGACTTTTTAACTCTGTTTTTTCTGTATTCATGAATGAGTGTCTCATACAAGGAGTATGTTTCCCATCTCCAAGTTTATTCATTTATGTTTTTGCATGCAGACTTGTTTGGTTTGTGGGCAAACAGACTTGCTTTTGTTTTTTACTTTATTCAATCCATGATGATAGTCTTATTCCTACCATTATCATCTTGATGTTCAAACTGCTCCAGCTCTGCCCAGCAAGAGACCCTTCCAAAGGACTCTTCCCATCGTGTAGCAATATTCCTATTATTTTCTTTGCTTATTTTTTAATTACCTCCTTATGATCCAGCACATTGGTTTGGCTACGACTTATATTTTATCCATCCCTGTCACAAAAAGGCCATTTTATTCTAGCATATACTGGTCTCTTTTGGTGGGAAGAGTGGTTTAAAGACACAGGAACTCAGTATTTTCTAAATGTACTAAAAACAGAAAACATCGTGCTGGGCAAGTGAATTCCAGGTCAGCTGGAGCTGGTTCAGTGAGAAACCTTGTCTCAAAAAACACATTCACCCCTGCCCTAAAATAAAAGAAAACACTGATTCTTCAAGAACACATTATAGTTGAAG